ATCACGTTTGTTATAAGTGGTTTTGACTGTATAATGCGCAGAACCTTAATATTGTCACGAATGACAAGTGATGAGGAACTGAGGAAATGGAACGTTTAATGGGGCAAACCTGTGCCCTAAACAAAAAGGAAGATACGTGCGTCGGCGTAACAGCAGGTTCGAGCGCTGGGGCGACACTGACGTGGCTGGCCACGCGGAGCCCCTTTTTTTTGTACACGCTTCTGCAACTTTCGGCTTAGAACATTCTAACCTCAAATCAGCAAGACGGTTCTTGAATCTACCAAAATATCAGATTACAGCGTGAACAAAAATGTGTCGTAAAATAGTTTCTGTTTGGGCGAGTTGGTGAACGTTTGGATACACGGTTTTACGCAAAAAAGACGGACACAAGAGATGTGCTCTTGTTTGTTTCTCTCTCTTGTGTCCGTCTTTTTTGTGCAAAACCTTGTATCCAAAAATGTGTCGGCGCAACCGGGAATCGAACCCTGGCCTTCTGTGTGGAAGGCAAGCACGATAACTGTTACACCACGGGCGCGCTGCCTAGTTGGTCAGCTGCACTCGCGGCAATATAAGCGTTTTGTCAATACCATTTTGATCACCGAAAATATTGTAAAAAAAAGTGGCTGCATCTCCACGTGGTGAATGATGTTGATTGGGGCAAAGCTTTGGTGGTGCTGATGATACTGATTTTATTGTTCACAGGTAGTGCTGATGGTGCCGATATGTTTTTATTGCTCATAGGCAGCGTTGAGTTCCGGGTTGCGTTTTGAGTTCATTATTACTGCTTTATGGTCGGCGAAATGCAGAGCCAGTGGTTCTTCTAGTGGATCAGCTTGGATCTGCTGGAAGTCATGGGAACGCATCTCCACTGCTTAAGTCAACGGTCCATGCCAGGAAGAGAATGTGTGGTATGGATCGTGGTTATGTACGCATTTGAGCATTTGACCGCAGCGCCCTCTCGTCTATAAACGTTGAGCAAATGCATGCAGAGTTTAACGCGATTATATACGCATTTGACTGCAGCACCCTCTCCTGTATAGACGTTGAGCGGCTACATGCAACGTTGGAGTGTAGCATTGTGGTTAAGACGTCTGCCTCGTAAGCTAGCGGTCCCAAGTTCAAACCCCATGCAAGCGTACATTTCTTTTTTTTTTTTTTTTTTTTTTTTTAAAGTGGGTTGATCTTGGAGGCAGTGCGATTGATGTGAGCGCGGACGCTGGACAAGGCTAGACCCTAAGGAGCTCCGCCCCTAATAACTTGAAACATAAAAATTTTCTTCTTTGACTGGGAGATTCCATCCAAGTTGACTCTTGATGTTTAAAATGCTGGAGCAGAAATTATAGTTGCCACTGACAAAACTACCTGCCCTTTTTATTCAACAACAAAAGAAAGGGTATGAGGAACAATATGATGATGATGATAATGTGCCTATGTTGCCAACTCAAAGCTGAACACAACAGAAGTGTGGGGATGAACGGACGAGGGCATTTGCGAACACCCCTTTGCAAGCCCGGGACCTGGTCGCGCGCCCGCGTTTCAGTCATCCCAAGTGCCAGGGGGAAATCTCTTTCTGGACACAGACAAACGTTTACAGACTTCTTCTGGGCATATTTGAGATCAAGCTTACAAACTTTTACTAATGTGCACCAGCTTGCCTGCACATTGACCATTTTGGAGCCCAGCTGTTAGGCACCCGTTTCCGGCTTAAGCGGCGTCGCCGTCACCGTCGTTGTCGTCGCCGCCAGCGTAACCGCACGGTGCATTATGGGAAATGTCCCATAATGCACCGCGCAGGATCCTTGTGACGTCACGAGGGTCCCGCGCGGTGCATTATGGGACATTACCCGTGATGCACCGCGCGGGGAGTCCCCTCCCCCTCCTCCTGCATCATAGGAAATGTCCCATAATGCACTGCGTGAGGGGGGGAGGAGAGGAGGAGAGAGGAGGAAAAAGGGAAGAGAGGGGGAGGATGTGAAGGAGGAGGGGAGCAGGAGGACGAGGAGGAGAAGGAAGAGCAGGGAAAAGGAATGGCAGGGACGATGAGGAGGAGGGAAAAGGGTATACCTTCTCAGTACCCTTCCCTCCTCCTCCTCAAAAGCTGCGCTCCAATTCGGCATTACAGGGAGTTTCAATTTGCACCTACTGACAAACATTTTATGATTTGAGTCGACACTTATGAATGTTTGCATCAAATACATTGTTTTGTGACTGTTGCTCCCCGCAGGGGGCACCTGTGAAAGCAGGTGTTTGGAGAGTGGCGTCTCCACGGACCCCGAGCCATGCGGGTTCGTTTGCCCACGTCTGGCTGTGTGTGGCTTTCCCGTGTCCGGGGAAAAGGGCATCCTGGTGGTTGAGCTGAGCCCGGGGTAGGTTTCGACCCTTCGGGGCCCCCCGGGTGAGGCAATACACCACTTCGGCCCCCGCTTCTCGTAGACGGGAGTCCTGTGAAGGCCAGGATGATCCAGTCTAGTCGCCTTTTCTTCTACTGTCCCCTCCGATCTTTCACTTTTACCTTTCCTGTTTCTTTTACTTCTCTCTTCCCTTACTCCCTTTTCACCCCTCTTTGGCCTCAAGGGCTAACCTTGGGTGACGATGGAGCTCTGTCTTGACCCACACTTGGGTATAGTTTCCTGGCAGCACTGTTAGCGTAATGTCTCCAGCCAAGCCCTTCTTGTTATGGTGCGTTACCTAACCCCTTGTTGGGCTCAGTGGGTGGGCGGTGCACCGCGGATTCTGAACACTCTTTGCCCTCTTATGGCGCCCCACCCCTCCAAACCCCGTTCAGGGCACGTCCTTAAAAGGCACTGCCCTGAACAAAAAACCATTGACAAAGAATGTGAAGTAGAAACATTTACTAAGTTTTTTATCGTTCATTCGGTGGATGAACAAAAACCTGTTTCAAAGCTCTCACCTTTTATTGTAGCGAAGGTGCTAGCAAACCTTGTAGGGTTTTCCTACAAGGCTAAAAAACAGCACACTGGAGATCTTCTTGTGGAAGTGAACACAAAAAAAAACAAAGTGACGCACTCCTTAAACTGACTACCATCGTTGACGTGAAGATGTCGGTGAGCCAATATCATCCCATTTCATCCTGCTCTCCTTGTGGGAGAGAATCCTCTAGTCTCTTTTGAACGAGTAATAGAATTTCTTAGTAGTATTAGCATTTTACACCGACTCTAGCCTTTTGGCCATCCTTTTGTAAAACCTTTCCTTTAGTACAATGATCCTTACAATTAGTTTGGAGCAGATGGCCTCGTAGTTTTTGCGCCATTAACCCCCAAAATCTCTCTCTTGTGACTGTTGCTATCTGTCTCAACTCTAGCGCCTCCCGAATGGCATACTTGTTTCTTACTCTTTCCCAGGTCGTTGGTTTTATTTCTCTGGTCCCCTGAAAAACGTGTCGGCGAGGTTCTGCTGTACGATGAGTCCTTTGATCGTATTTAAATTGCCACGCCGAGCGAGCGTGTGCGTGGCCGTGCTTGGCTTTTGCACGCACGGTTCACTTCCTGGGAGCAGACACTTCTTTTATCTATTCTTTCAATTTAGCGTTTTCATAAGTTGGAGAACCTCGTCGTCTGATTGAGTTACGGACGTTTTACGCCGAATGTTCCACAGGCCCACGCGTGTACATAAGGGGCTCCGCGTGGCAAGTCAGTCTCGTCCCAGCACTCGATCCTACCATTACGCCGCCATTGATGCCAGCCGTCTTCTATTGCACACCCCGTTAAACATTTCCTTCCGTTCTTCATCAATTGTCTTTCGGGACAATAATATACGGGATAATTTTTTCGAGACATTGCGCTATTAGAAAGATGATTGCAGTCATGAGATCTTGCTTGGAGAGTGAAACACTGCCCCAAAATACATGCAAAAAAAAATAATTTATTTTTGTTTTGTAGCATCTATTTTATACAGATGCGAATTTTCTAACCATGCAAGTTAGTAAATACAGACTAATAGCATTGTGTCATTTATTTAGGTCAAACAATAAAAATGTAGGTGCAAAAAACTGGTCACTCACCGCAGTGGGGTATATATGTGGTAAGATGCGAGTACACCATTGGGAAATATTGAATAATGGCAATTCACGTCTGTTGGTTTCAATTTGAGACACAACCTTGGAATTGCGTGCTTCGAACCACATACTTAGCTGCGACTTGTCAATTGTCGAGAAAAAAGACATACTCCACATTTAACTTTTTGAGGAGGCTTAGTTCTACTTTCCTGTGGCTTGTACGTTTCGGGTTTTCTTTGCCCAGAGAATGTTTTTGGTCTCTGTGTTCAACAAAACCAATTGTTTTCTCAGGGCGTTTGATGCCCCTGTGTTCTTTACTTTATCTAGGGACGTAATTTTTTTGGCGAGATGTGATGCTCTAAAGCGATCTTTGGTGAGTTTTACCCGATGGACAGCTTTCCTCCAGGAGAGCAATTTGTTCCCGCAAAACATTTGGTGATGCACTTGATAGTATCACTCTCAGTCTGCCGTCGCTCGCAAAAACAAATTGGGGTGTGTATGAGCCTAGAACTTAGTCTGCCTCTACGGGTGACTTGTCTCCCAGCTGTAGACGAGCAATAGAGCCAGTGCAGTACAGCCTTTCACATGCATCACGCGTGAGCTGGTATCGATGCTCATCCAGATGGAAACGTGCAGTGCTGGGGATCGAGGTTCTGCAGTACGAGCTTTGGCTCCACTAGCCCACCCGGCCACCGATCCCCCTGCGGTTGCACACATTTGTGGGTCACCTCGACAAAAATGTAGATCCGGACCCGTGTCCGCAGCCTTCCGCAGTTTGTCAAATCTGGTTGATTTTTATTCGCACCTGCCAGTTGAGTGTGGGTATCCGCATGGACGTGTAAGAATTATTCTGAGACCATAGTGATAAAATGATAAGCAAGAAATGAGGATATATTATAGCCAACAGACGGTGTCTCGTCCAAGCAGTTGCAGACATCTGGCCCAAAGAACTGAAGGACCATCTTGGGGTGCATTGCCTTTGCAGCAACAACGACATAAAAGTCTGGCGCACGCCAGGCTACTACCTTGAGGCAGACTCATCATTGGAGGATGCCGAAGGCAACGTCAAGTCTGGGCCTTGAAGAACCCCCGTCCTGCCAAGTTCCCGCTCGATCAACTCTGCATGCCCGGCTTGCCATGTTCCCGCTGCATTTGCTTGGCCTCCGAATGCTCTCTTAACTGCAATGCTGCTTCTGCTGCTCTATGGGCTCTTCGTCCCGTCTTCCTTGGTTGCATTGCCTCGAATTTGCCCTTGTTTGTCTCTGTTTGTGTTGACTGGTACTAGAATACCGTGATGCGATCATGCATTTAACGGGGGTCGAGTGCACTTTGCCGTACCTGCCAAGTTGAGGTCTCCGCTGTGGAGGAAGGTAGCAGTTTCAACGGTTGCTTTAGAAACGGACGTGTGTTTGGAGAACTACAAACATATTTTGTCAGGTTGGGTGGAACTTTATGAAATGGACGATAGTGACTAGCAGGATCACGGGCAGCCCTGGAACAGTGGGGTCCTCCACCGCTCTGCCGTGCGGAGGAAACTTGTTGAAGGACTCCGCGTGATGGTACCCATGTGCATAGAATGGGCAATGAAAGATGTTGAATGGAGCTTTGTGCATGGTTTGTGCTAGACAGCTAGAAGACTATTGCATCGGTGAAATAACATAATCTGTCCGCTGCTAACTAGACTAAGAGCAGTGGTATAAAGCCTTGGTTTTGTTGTGTAGTCTCGAAGCTGAATGTGTGCAGCATGGTGCAATGGATGCACGTTCCCCGTTGCTTTCTGTTTGGTAACCTCTCCCTCCCCTCCCCTCATCAGCGACCACACCGTCCGAGTCTGGCAAGTCAGGGGCAGCACGGACCTCTCGCCGGACAGCTGAGGACATCCCATCATTCCACCGAGGCAGCTTTTGCACCGTCCGCCAATTGTCTTTCATTTTGGGCTGACCTGGTTCCTTCTTGAATGGACACTGAAGAGCACACAACTGCATTTTTGCTAGACTTTTGTTCCATTTAGAATTAGTTTCCAGTCTGAATTCAAGGTAGTTTGAATTACTTTGACTTCAATAGTAGTCAATCAATTATAGTTTGGTGCTACGAGCTACACCACGAGTTGCGAAAACGTGTTGCTACAAATGCCTGGCTCTCAGAACTGGAGGCTGTGAGTTGTTAGCATTTTCTTACGAGACCTTATACTGTAAACGACTTATTTTTCCTTGGCTCAATAGTTCGCCATTGAGGTCAAAGTTGAAGTTTTGGAAGAATTTGTGGGTTCTAATTTTTGTGACGCGGTGGGATCTCAATATAGATTCCAATGTGTTTACATTTTACCAGAATTGTTCGCAGGACCCATTGTTCTCAAAGTGTAGGTGATTCGCAGAATTCGCGAAAATTAGGTCCTTGCGAAAATAAAGTCGTTTACAGTATATGGACAGTCTAAAACATTTTCAAGATTATTATTTAAAAATATTTGTGCAGTTTATTTTCTAAAAATTGTAGTTTTAAAAGAAATTTGGCGATGCCACACTCAAGTTAGGCAAGAGAAATGCTTTTTCAGTGTTCATTTGGGAGGCACTTTTAATATACATTCCTCACCAAAGTCATTTTTTATTGCAATCAAAGTTTCATCTTGTTTTCTTTTGTTCCATTAATGAAACATAGTACTACTTTTTGTTGTTCATTGACAGCTGGCTTGTGACAGCTAGTGCCAAGTTTGGTGTCTTGCAAATGCTGCGGTTTTTTTCTGCACATTGCATCTTGGTAGTTATGCCACATCATGTTTCAGCTATTTATATACACACTATTTATTAATATATTGCGGTGGGAGAGGAGGTTGGAACCTCAGGTGCATGTTGATTTTAGTGGGATAGGGAGCTGTGCAAAGCTTTCCAGTTTTCCAAACTTAGCAGAGGTTATATTTTCACTCGGAAGACCTCAAAGATCATTCCTTAATCAGAACATTCCATGCTGCAAGAAATGCACTTATGTTTCTTTTAATGTGTAGGAATGCAGAAAATGCGTTAAGGTGTCGTTTTAATGCTGCTTTTATTCACTGCTTGTGCGTGCTGCCTTAGTTATATAACGTATGGGCGCCGACCGATTTTTCGGATGCTGATAATTCGGACCTAAAGGAGGAACTGTGACCTGCCCAATAGGGGGAGTGCATATTCACGACCAATGTTTCGAACAGCTTCAAGTCTGAAAGTGGTTTTTCGAACAAAATCGTTGCAAGTGATCAGCAGAAAACACCATTGAGAAGGCCACCATTCTGGATTTTATGTTGGCTGTGCATGGATTACTTGGTTTGGCAGCTCTGCCTGAGTACATTCAAGTCCAACCGCTAGGCGACACTATGCTGTGGCTTTTTTTTTTTCTTTCTTTAGCTTGTCATTACCATTTTGCTTTGTTTATTCGCCATTCTGCTGTCGATCTCGTCTGGGTGAATTGTGTTTTCGAACCACGTTGGCTTCGACGTCATAGCCCCACTTCCGCCACCGCCAAGTGCCGCTAACAAAGTACTCAACCATACCGCTAGGAAAGAAGGCAGCGATGCTCAAGCTAATAGAAAGTGGCCCAATGCAAGCATAAACGTAACCTGAAGCAAGGTAATTGTGACGGCTTTTTTAAGCAGACTTAGATGTAATAAAGGCAAGTTTTCTAATCTGCTGATTTTTCGACTGCTCTCTTATTTGCAAGTCTTGGGTCCCTGCGAAATCCAAATAATCGGTCGGCGACTGTATGTTCAAAAATCCCAACGTATAAAGTAGTATGCATTTATTTTATTTCCAAGGGGAGTGCAGAATGCAGTTGGTACGCGTTTCAACAAAACATTGTTTGTTGGGAGTACAGGAAAGAACCCGTGTTGCCTGAAGCGTGGCTGCATGTCCTGAAGTGATGCATTCCACCGCATGTACAAAGTGTAAAGTAGCAGTTAATAAAACACTACTAGAAATTTAGGTGACTCAATTCCTAACTGCATCATGCCTCTGTCCAGCCAAACTGGAAATACTCTGGGTGGAACCCAACCAATAAAAACATCCACAAAACTCTGTGTCTTGTATAACTAGAATAAATTCTAGTACTAAATATGGAGTGCTTTCAGGGCCTGATGATATTCTACTGGTGTGAAGGCAAGGTCTCGAAGAAGGCAGGTTGTGTACCCAGATAGGCATTGTTTGTTAAGCTCCTTGTCTGCTCCAGCACTGACGTAGGCATTTGGTGCAGATTGGAAGTGGGAATCTTGTACGGCTCATCAGGCTCCCCTTGCATCCACTTTCTGGTTGGAGTGGTTGGCGACGGGCATTGCCTCCACTTTCCAATGAGTGGCAGCAGTGGCTTGTAAGATAATCTAAAATTAAATAACTGGTTATTTCATTAACCAGTTGTTGGAATACCCAGTTAAATTGCTCAGTTATTGGGTTATACAAATATTTGTATGTGCATTATTTTTTACCGGATCGAGATTGTCTGGCTGAAATAAAGGTTTGCCCCAGCAGCTTCCCCCCCCCCCCCCCCCCCCCAAAGTTTCAGCTCTGCCACCTTCATGTTTTGACAATTAAGTGGGATCTTGAGAGGTCATTCCCACTTTTCCAGCAACATTCTCGGGGTCTCTGATGAGAAAGAAAGGGAGCGCTTTTCGGATTCTGATCATTCTGTGTTGCAGCAATGGCGTCCCTGCTTTGTGCCCCAGAACAGTTGCCCGAGTGTTTTGGTCCTCAATGATAAAGATGCCTCCCCAAGTGTAACCCGCTTAGTCATCCCCTTACAGAGCAATTCCCAAATCGCACGGTGACCGCTGGGATTTCACCTTGCGGAGTCGGCCTGGGAATTGCCTCTGTCACCTGCTTTTGGTACGGTAAAGGCCCGTTCACACGATGCATTTTTCTCGCGCATCTAGTGTCGCGAAACGTAGTTTCGCGAAATGGTTGCGCCGTCTGAACGAGTCCGAAAAGGACGCGCGCATCTAAAAAAAAGTTCCGCGCACACCTCACTTCTGGAGCGAGCTTTTGCTGAAACTTTGCCGAGTCCAGGGTTGCCAGGTGTTTGAACTCCAACCCGCCAAACGTCTACGAGATCTAGCCCAAAAATAGCCGAATGTCGATCCAGAAAAATAGCCCAAAAATAGCCCCAAAAAAACTTATCATTTGAAACGTTTATTTTGAGCAGAAAAGACACATGATACATTTTTATCCATCAGATGCCCCAGAAATGGCGTCCCTTGCACGTTCGGCGAACTTCCTCAAACGCTCGTACAAGCGCATGACAACATACCTTCCACTTACAGTGTTCTAGAGGGGGTTGTAGTGGCAAGAGCGCCGGCCGCTTCGTGAAGATTTTGCGCGTAGACGGCACCATGGCGCTGCTGTTCTGTGCCCTAGGAGCGCGCCCCCGTCACCCCCATCATCAGCGCTGTTCGGCGCTTACTACTGTGGTTTGACTGGAGCTTTTCGCGGTGCGAAACAACTGCTAATGTTGCTCTGTATACTCTGCTTCACCTTATGATGTACTGCAGGAAAGGCTACAAGCGCGAGCTCCTTGCTCTGGGGCACATCTCGGCGGCACAAGCTCTCGTGAATTAAGAGCAGCTGCCAACGCTTTGAGCTCGCGCTTCTAGCCTTCGCTGCGGTACAACATAAGGTGAAACGAAGTATAGTAAATTGTAGTTCTGCCTTTGGACCAATGCCTTAGAGTGTGTGCTTCCTCTACTTGAAATATTCGCGTGTTTTGAGGGAGATTATTTAATTAATATCGACTCGCCCCCCTTCCCAGTACTGACACATCGTTCAGCAACGCTATCACTTGGGCTGCAGGCTTAATAGCTGCGAAAGAAGTTCTACGGTGCTACATTTTGGAGAAGCGTACCACGTCACCCTCGTCGTCTTCTTCGTTCATCGCACACGTGCCATTAATTCTCCTAGGGCACAACTCCAGCGCCACTCGCGGTATCTACGTCGACCGTCTTCACGCGCTTCATTGTAAGCGGGCGCCGCTCTTGCCACTACACCCTCTAGAACACAGTGCTTGGTGACCAGAATGACGTCCAGGGAGAATTATGCAGAATTCAGACAACCTAAAGAATGCGCAGAACAGGTGTTGTCAAGGCCGCAAGGAATCGCGCCGTCACTTGTTGAGATGGAGGAATAACAGCACATGCTTGCATTCGGAGGTAAACAATTACACAAGGCGCGCAAAAAGAAGAATTTGTTTGCTGTCGCAAACTTATCAGGGTTTAGGGACTGAAGCACCAAATGTTCACGTAACTTACTCTAAAAAACAGGGTGTCGAACCGGAACCGAACCGAACCGAAAACCGGAACCGAATCGGTATTTTTTCCGGAACTGAACCCGAACCCGAACCGTTATATTGTTATCGCGATGAACCCGAACCGGAACTGAACCGGAAAAAAAAAATAACGAATACCGGCTCATGTCAAAACGGTTCGGCCACGCGCTGTTGACAATGAATGTGCTATCAATGCCATTTGTTTTTTAAGTGCCGTTAACTGACACACACCTCGCTTACATATTTTTCTTCTCCACTCAGTCTTAGGAATATAAACGCTGCATCCATGAATCTTGACAAACGCTGCATCCATGAATCTTGACAGAGGAACCAGTATTGCGCTGGTCGCGGCTTGCACGGAAGAAAAATAATTAAAAAGCTGTGCAAAAAAAAAAAAAAAATCGCGTCACGGGATTTTATTTTCCTACAATCTCGTAAATCCTAAATGCTGCTGTGTGCTCATTTCATAACACGTTTCTAAAACGCGCGAGTTCTTAAAGCTTGCTTCCATCGGAATGAGAAAAGAAAAGGCTGTGGAGTTTGATAATAATGCATCCGGTTTCGTATAGGCATTTAGAAGCTAACATATTTGGGAGACAGCGAACTCTTCTATTTTAATATTTATCCTATTACGTCCTTCTGGCGTTGCGTTCGGTGAAGTGTTTTTCATATTCCGTATCTTGTTTAATGAAAACTTCTTTAAGGGTCTAATTTGAGTTACCGAAGGCTAGTTCAAATAAAGAAAGCTGTATTTTCTCCCCACTGTTCCTTCAATTGCTTACACGCCGAGGTGGCGGTATAGTTAGCGAGTTCTACTTGTAAGTGGGTTTGTAAGGAGGTCGCGGATTTTACAGCTACTGCGTCGGACCCAATTAGATGAAGTCCGAATGCGTAAACGTCGGTGAGGTAACCTTTGAGTGCACATAAAGAAACCATTTCTGGTAGAAATACCTGAGCCTTACACTACGATGTATCCCGTTTCGTATGTGCTGATTTCAGATGTTTTATTTGTAATTTATTTTGATGTTGCAATTTGTCATTTATAATTTCCGAACCGGTTCGCGGACCGAATTAATCGAACCGGAACTGAACCGGAACAAAATAAATTTACCTAAACCTGAACCGTAACCGAACCCGTTTTTTTTTTTTTTCGGTTCGACACACTGCTAAAAATACATTCGAGCTTATAAACCCAAGTGCTTTCAGGCATTTTGGTTCCAGCACAGGTCAGAAATTGCCCAATGCACTGGTCAGAAATAGCCCAATGCTCAAGTTAGAAATAGCCCAATACTAGCCAAATAGCCAACTACCATTTTTTCCCGCCAACTGCAAATAAAACTAGCCCAATTTGGCTATTTATAGCCCAACCTGGCAACCCTGGCCGAGTCCTGTCAATCACTCTGAGGGCGCCGCCAATGGCCGCTCAGAAACGCTCTCACGTGGCCTTTGAGGGCGGAGCGAGCTGTTTGAGAAGACCACTGCACTGCCGGTGTTGTAGCCGAGCCAAATCCAAAAAAAAACCGAAACGACGAACGATGGATACTGCCGGCGCTTCCGCAAGCACTTCAAGCACCACTGAAGGAAAAGTGAGTAGCGTATCGGAAACAAATCCAGCGATGGACGAAGACGGAATTGGTGATGATGATAATTCGGGTCTATTTTTAGTCTTAATTAAGAAATAAAACCTTGAGACAAGGAAACAAAAAGGGACGTACACAGTACCAACGTTCCAGTTCCGTATCTCCTCGGCGCGCCTGTGGGGAGGAGGCGGCCCGGCGCGGTCCCCGCCACCGCAGCGCTGCGGTCGAAGGTTGCGCCATCAGGACGATCGCCGCTCCCTTGCGCGCAATGTTCAGCACGCCTACTGCAGCCCGGGATCTCGGCTGATTTCGCGAGTAACGCGCTATTATTTTAATTTCGGTCGTTTTTGAACAGAAGGTAACTTGCAAGTGATGTAACACCGAAAATAATACGTACGTGCAAGCGGTTCAGCCATGGCCCGCAGCGGTTGTCACTATGCTTGGTTGCTCACGTCGTCAATAAAAACGAGCGAGACGATGATCGTTCGCGCGGTCGGTATGAATTTCTTCCATATATTCAAAGAACGCACGTAGTGATTTAATGTCGCGAAAAAAAAGCTGCGCGTCGCAATCGCGCCGTCCTGGGCATTTTTTTGTTTTCTTTTTTGTCATACAAAATATATCGATCTTGCCTATGCTATTTTAGAAGATTTGCTCAACTTGCAATTTAGTAAAGTATCTACAGAAACTGCTCATTCACAACACATTACACAAGCCGTAACACAATCAATTTTATTTTGCTAACTCGCAAAAAATAAAAAAGGGCTTCAAATCACGCGCAAAACAAAGCCTGTTACAGTTAAAGCTCCACTATACAAGCTTGGCCTTTTTCCTTTCTCTTTGGGCCCTTATGGCGCTATCGTTTTCTTGGCACTTTTTGCGCGCGAAAAAGTGCATACGTGTCACCAAATAGAAGTGAATAACCTCGGCTGTGAATTCATGAAGATGTTGTGGGCAGCCAACAGAGTTGGTGCCACTCTTCATTAGGGAATCTAAAACCTTCCAAAAAAGATCACCAAAAGCATCTTCCTTGCATGCTTCCTTGCAGGCTCAGTATGTACTCTGCAGTGCCTATGCAGGCAAAGAGCCGTTCAGACGGGTACACCAGACTACCTGTGGCATAGGCACGCTCAATTACGAGTACTGCCTCAGGAGGCAGATCATCTTGCACACCTAGAGCTTTTTTTTTACAGTTGTCGCAACTTGTATTCTTCTTTAGTTTGAAGGCTACATACCCTGCTAAATAGTAAAGAGCTGTTTTTTCTGGTGTAGGAGCATTGTACATATGGTCATTACCACTGTTAGGCATATCATTGAGAGGTATGGACATAAGCTGGTCCCAAACATGTTTTTTCAGTGCACTTTTCTGCAAAAGTGCCTCGCGTCGTTTCTCCCCGAGACTCTCAAATGTACTGAGCAGAACACGGTCGCTGCCTCCCTCGCAGTTTTCTTTGACAGCTACCTTGACAGGGGTGTAGAGGGAAAGCAAGCGAAATAGCTGGCTGAACTTCGTCACCGTGGGGTGATCTTCGTCTCCTCCAAAAGACCTCGCAAGCCCGAAAAACCTCTGAAAAAGCAATAAAATGATACAATAGGTTTCATAGCTCCAGAAAAATTAATGCGAAAGTCAAATTACCTCAAGTGGGTCCTGATTCAAGCTTGCCGTCAAGACGTAGTTGACACCTCTCTCATGTAGAAAGCTGATTAAAGATGCAACAGACATCAGTGTTACACGAAGAGACTCAATAGTCTGCTGAGACGCAAAGAGCTTGATTGTCTTCTTTGCTTCGGTTTGGTTCATCATTTCCAGGAACCTTTCCAGAAACTGCAAGAACAAAAAAGGCGGTGCGACAGGTCATTTGGCACTCTGGCCTGGACGACAAGGCAAAATAATTTGTGAAGCAGCACCAGTTCTTTTTTTTTCAATGATGCTTGAGTGCCTGGCTCTAAAGATCATAAGAGAGGAACATATGTCTCTTTGCTTACCTTTATTCTGGGCGATCCTTTCTTTATTCCAGCTTCAGGAACTTTGACATTTAAAATGTCAAAAAGGTCATTCAGAAGGGAAGTAAACTTTTCTGTTCCAACACTGTCAGCAAAACCAGGTACCTTAAGACGCCGGTAGACACTTAGGCCTGTTGCAACGCTGCGGCTGAAGAGCTGAAAGCAGTGTTGTTCTTTGTATTCCCAGCAATTGTAAACAAGCACACAGCTGCACAACCAACTATAGCTTGCTGGATGCCAAGAATGCAAATCAATTAATCGGGATTGTAGAGACATGGCAGAGATATGCAAAGTGTCAATAAAGATTTGCTAAGAAATAGCAAGCAAACTTGCAAGGGAAGTTACGTTAATGAGGATTAGGGGTGGGTGTGCAAAACAGAATACCTGGGTGGCTAGACGAACATTCATGGACTGAAGTCTCTGTGGCTTGACATGGTACTCTGTCAAGTTTGGTACCACCCTGATGTCAGATTTCTTCTCGACTTCGAAAAGTTGTTCATAATGATGATAATTCACTTGATAATCTCCTATCTGCAAAGAAAGAAGTGATTAAACTATGACATATTTGCAAATTACAACTGAAAAGCACTGAAATTCACATCATTGCATCTGTTACAAAGACTAATATATAAGTAAGGTTTGGTTGTAGCATGATTCAACTTACTTGTCCATATTTGTGCTTCATCATGTGATTTCGAACACACTTGATTATGTGCGGAACATCGCATATGAAGTGGAGATGCCCACCAGGGAGGCATGGGTGCTCTATCTTGCATTGAGGGCTGTCGAGTTTTCCTGTAATCCCAAGCTGTGTCCACATGGACTTATTGTTGCCGGCCCCATCGCTGATTACTGCCAAGGCTATGGCACCGTGCTGGTGTAGTTGTAGCACCGAGTTCATAACCATTTTTGCCAACACCCACCCTGGCGCTGCTCCTTTCGTTGCGTAGGTTGCAATAGGCTGAATCCATGACTCAAACATAGGATTAAACATGACCACTAAAGCATGGTCAGCTAGTGTGTTTATGTTAGCCTCGGCAACATCACCATAGTCGACGAAGCCATCAAATTTGCAGGACACTCTATTAAATTCAGTTGTTTCTCTCAGCTTGACCTCATCATTGATTACACAGCCGTAAGTGTGATGTTCTGGCTTCTCCGTCATATGAAGCTTGATGCTCTCAAGGGCAAATTTGTTTAAACCGTACTGGCATGGGAGGCCCCTGAGCAGCTGCACGAGACGACTTGCACTTGGAAGAGGAAGAATTTTCATATCAGACAATGCCCTGTAGTATTTTGGACTTGTCAGTCGCAAAAGCAAGCAGACCATAAGCCACTCTGTTGTATATCTGTGTCCACGGGGTGACTTGGCTGCCTGTTGCATAATTGCCGTCCGAATTGCAATCTTCTGCACTTCAGGCAAATCCTGCACGATGTCATCAAGACTTGTCATAAATGCATCCTTTAGCTTTTCACTGAGTCGCTGCACTTCTCGCTTCTTTCGTTCTCGTGCTGCAGTAGCTCGAATCAACCGTTTCCTAAGCACGCTTGCTGCCACACGGACCTTTTTCCTTGGCTGTGTTTTTCTTAGCTTTCTTTTCAGGCTCTTTGTCAAAGAGGCACAGAAAGTACACATGCCTCTATCTGCATCTGTCAAAACTAAGCAGTCCTTGTAATACAGTAGGTCGCCAACTTTCTCTGCCACACTGCTGGAGCTCAAGGCGCTGTGGGAGCAGCCACGGCAAAACTGCTTTATATGCACAATCTGCAGGATTGCTTCCACGTCCTTCGAGGAGCGTATTTGCTGCAGGTCGACAAGGGATCTCTGCAGCAGCTTTCCGTTGGCGTGAACGACGAAGCTGAGGTCCTCGCGAATTACGACGCTCTTAAAGGGCAACTCCGCTTAATTTCAAAAATTTTGAGATAGTGGCCGATTTTGCTTTTTGAAGCACTCAAAAACAATCCCCAATCCTTTGTTTCGCGAAAAATAAAATATTTTTCGTGTAATTTTACTCTAGTCATGATCACAAACTGAAACCGAAACGGTGGCAAAGCCGGACAACATTGTATATTCAGCATCACTAAGCATGTACACCCACGTGATATACAATGGGAAGAAGGAGCTCCCCTCTTATCAGGATCCTCCTTTGTGCCTCCTGGATTAGCACAGGCGTCGCTATTTTCCCCCCAGAAGATTATAGAAGATTAACCTGTCACTCAAAATTCTTACAAAAGCAGCTTCCCTCTCCGGGGAGAGCACGGCGCTGGCGCCACCCGTGCTCTCCCCGGGAAAGAAAACATAATTGAAAAAAAAGAAGCTGTACATGCTTGATGACGTCACGGACGTGCCGGTAGAAGGAATTTGGAGGAAGCGGAAATGCAGCCGGGCAGTGTTGTCTGGCCCGCACGTCTCATCCAAAACCAGCGGATTCGTGCTTGTCAAACTTCGACAGCGATTTTGATGAACTTCTAGGCGGAATTCCGTCGTAATATTTGCCATGGGGGTTTTGTAGATGATAACAAAGAGAACTGTATAGTTTTGCACTACTGGAAAAGAAGCGGAGTTGCCCTTTAAAGGGACACTGACACCCCCCAAATTTTTTTTTTTTAATTTTTTGCCAGGCGCTTTATTATGATGTCGGAGGACTACCCAATTAATATTTTCCAACAGAGTAGCGTATTTTTTTAATAAAGCCAAAAGACGCAACTGCTTGAAACATAAACCGAAACCCGACGGAGGTCGGAGAAGTGGAGAGAAGAGAGTGAGTGGCGGAAGTCACGTGGCTACACCCGACCGTGTGTTTTTTTTTTTTTTTTTTTTCTCCTTCCCGTAGCAGACGACATGCGGCGTACGGGAACTGCTCGCCGTGGGATCCTTTTAGTTATGTATGTTCCGCTCGTTGTTCTGTACTCCAAGATGAGTTGTTTTGTACATTGAGGAGTTGGCGATGAGTAGTGAGTGCCCGTGGTGAATTTTGATCGGCTCCGAAAAGAATACACCCAAGATGTTGCGTGAAGAGCTGGCTCACAAGTCCTGCGTCCGAAACAGAAGTGGCATTGTGCGACAGAGTTTCCGAAAGATCTACGGGATCGGGACCAATGGCTGGCTGCAATTCCTGTAGACCATTTACGGGCACATCGGAAAGCGAACGCTACCCGATTTATATGCTCCTTGCATTTTGTGGAAAGTGATTACATTGAGTTCGCAGGTGTCAAAAAGAAAATCCCATACCATTTAATTCAGCGACATGCCGTCCACAACATTTGTTTCTTATTTTTTTTTGTTTCTTCAGTAATAATTGTAAATAAAAAAAAATGTAAACATAAAAAAATATTTGAAAAAAAAAATTTCACGGGGGATTGAACCCGGTCTTACCGCGTGTGAAGCGGACGTCTTTCCCACTGAGCTAGTGGAGCATTTTTTTTTCTTTCCAAACGAAACAAATTTATTTACAAGTTATTTACAGACATCGTTGCAGTAGGTTCCGCAAACATTATACAAGGCCAAATTGAAAAGTAATTCAGAAAACGACATGTGGATCCCTTGTATAGAAACGTTATACAAACTGTAGAGACGAGTGAGAAAAACAAAGACTCTGAAAAGAGAGAGAAAAAAAAAGAAAGATACACTGTCGCCGTGCGGTAAATAGCTACCACACGAACCTGACCAGACTTGGCGGAAACGATTGAGAGGAAACGCAAACGATACAGTATGAGACTGCGTAAGCAATTATGCAATCTGTACAAAAAAAAATCAATAAATCGAACAAAAAAGGACGCGAAGTTCCAAGGGGGGGAAGAGCCACGGTCCACTTTCGCGCACCGCGCACCTCAGCCAACGCCAACGCGCCTACAGTTCACAGGAACTCGCCAGTTTCCCACGCCTGACGTACGTCGTTGCGCGCAGCGGCGACGACCTTCCTCGAGTTGTCGCTCGATGCACTCCCAATCACCCGCGTTCGGCTGCCGCGACGTCACCGATAGCACCCACCCCAACGTGGACACGAAGTAGCTCCAGGTTGGACGCGCGTCGAGATGGCATTGCACCATTGCGGTACGCGACTGCCAGATGGCGTGCAGGCCCAGCAGCATCATCACGTGCGCCACCTCCGTCTTATCCCTCTCCTCAAGTTGCAGATACTTGAAGACGCTCCACTCCACTTCGAAGGAGTCCCTGAGCTCAAACGTCGTCCTCATCTCGTCCCAGAAGAGGTAGGCATTGCTACACTCGACTAGGACGTGCTGGATGGTCTCGGGCGCCCCGCAAAGGTCGCAGTTTAGGGACCACGGCACGAAGAACCCCTTGTGATGGAGCCAGGTTTTAACTGGAAGGACCTCCATGTGCACCCGGACGAAGAAGTCCCTTGTCGCCACAGGGATGGGAAGGATTCTCACGAGTTTGTAAAGTCGCGTCGCGTCGTCGGGCGTCGGTGGTTGTCTGTAGAGCGGTGGCGGGAAGGATGCGGAAACGGCATCCCAGTACAGCCGCCTCTTTCCGACGGTCGCCAGGCATTCCCAGGAAAATTGGGCCTGCAGAAACTCGATGGAGCTGGCGATTTCCTTGTAGAACCTCAGGGCGGCTCCCTTGGTCGTGCGGCCACTCGTGCTCACCATCCAATTCCCGAGATGTGGGAATCCAAGGTGGTGCAGCACGGCGATGAAGGTCGGGTCCCTTGCATCCCGGAAAAGCAGAAAACGCTGCACGTGCAGCTTGAGCACGATGTTAACGAGGCCCAGACCTCCGCTCTCTTGGTGCAGAAAGAGGTTGTTCCTTCGTGTGCTTTCCATGGCGGACTTCCACACGAACATGGCCCAGTTCCGGTGTACTTTTCCGGCCTGGCTGCCCGGGCAGCAGACGGCCTGAGCCCTGTACAGCACGGCTCGGTAGCTGACTGTGTTGCACACGTGAGCCCGGCTGAAGAAAGACAAGTTTCTGCACCGCCAGGGCGACAGCTTGGCGGCAACGGAGTTGGCGGTCGGTCTCCACACTGCGGCCATTGATCGCTGCGGGTCCACCGGCACACCCAGGTAGCCGTCGAGCGAAGTGCTCCATTCTATACCCCCGAAAGTTCTTGGCGTAGTCGCCCATTCACCGAGCCACGCCCCCGCCGACTTCTGTCGGTTGATCATGGCCCCTGAGGCAGCGCAGAACCGGTCCACGTGTCGCAGCTAGGATGGTCTGCACCTGCACCTTGGACGAGCAGATAAACGAGACGTCGTCTGCGAAGGCCAGAACGCGGACGTCTTCGTCCCCAAGCCGTAAACCTGAGATGGATGGGTCCGCATTGACTGCCCAGCAGAGTGGCTCCAACTGCAGCGCGAAGAGGATGGGCGAGAGGGGGCAGCCCTGCCGAACCGACCTCCCGATGGAGATGGGACCTCCCCTCTGGCCGTTGATGAGAAGGCGCGTGGAGATGTCTCGGTAGCAGAGCGCGATCCACTCCCGCAGCTCCTCCCCCACGCCGAATCGATCCAGCGCCGCCAGGAGGAACCTGTGGGACACCCGGTCGAAGGCCTGCCGCAGGTCCAGCTGCAGGACCGCCAGGGGCTGGTGACCCTCCGCCGTCGCCTCGCCGATCGCCCGCATGATGTGGAGGTTCCTGGATATGTTCCTCCCGCGAAGGCCGTAGGTACGTCTGATGGGGCCCAATGGTGGACTTGAGCCGTGTGTCAAGTCGCCTTGCGAGGATCTTGGCCAGGATTTTATAATCAGAGCAAAGAAGACTGATGGGCCGAAAGTCCCCAACCTCGGAAATAGGGCCCTTTTTAGATTTCTTCGGAATCAGTACCGTGAAGCTTTGCCGCATGGTCGGAGGAAGTAGCCTTCGTCTGCGGATGTCATTGAAGACTCGAGCCAAGATGGGGGCACAGTGCGTCAGAAAAGATTTTGTAAAACTCTGACCCGATGCCGTCCGGGCCGGGAGCTTTGTTACGGGACAGGTGCCTGATTGCATGTTGGACCTCGGCCTCCCGGATTGGACAGTTCAAAATGTCAACCGCCCCCTCAGGAACCGAAGGAGATCCCCGGAGAAAGGGCTCGAAGGCGACATCGTCAAGCCTCTCCTCCCGGAAGAGCTCCCCGAAGGACGTCTCGAAGACGCCCGCGATGTCTTCTCTTGAGGTGAAAACACGAGCTCCTTGCCGCAGCTCCTTGATAGTGTTCTCTGTTGCCCTTTTCCGCTCGTGCGTGCGGAAGATCTTCGAGGGCTGCGTCTCTCCCTCGAGTGTCTCGACTCTGCTCCTCACCTGGGCTCCCTTGTAGCGCTCCTCCAGCATGGCCAGCAGGTGCTCTTTGCAGAGCTTGATGTCGTCACTGAAGGATCCTGGACTGCTCTCCTCCTCCTCCAGCAGTGCCTTGATGGTGTTCGTGAGGTGAATTCGAGTTGACGTTTCTCTACGCCCTTGCGGCGGCCGAGCGCGCACGCGGCATCCCGGAGCTTGATCTTGAACTCCTCCCACGAGACCGCGTCCGCGCCGCCCTCCTCCAGGTTCTGGAGAGCACGCCTCGTCTCCTCAATAAATTCTTCGCTTTCGAGAATGCTGGAGTTCATCTTCCAAGGCGTGTCGCGCCTTGCCCGCACACTTCCGGGGCCCCCAGCAAGAATCTCAGCCGCGACGAAACCGCGGTCTGAGAACGGAACAATCTTCGCATCGTAGGACACGACGCTCCCGGACCACTCGCCAGAGACGTAAACGCGGTCCAGCCGCGCCTGCGACGCGCCCCTCCACCTCGTGAACCGCGGCGAAAACTTGTCAAGCGTCTCTGTCACGTCCACAAGGTCGAAATCGCGCACGGCGTCGCGAAGCGCAGCCGCACCCACGTCGGCTCTTGGGACTGCCGACCCGCTCACTCTATCGCGACTGTTAGTCACGCAGTTGAAGTCTCCGCCGACCACGAGCGTGGCGGGCGTGTCAAGAAGTGCGCGCAGTCCGACGAAAAAGTCCTTGCGCTCCACCGGCCGGCTAGGGGCATAGACCGATATAAGGCGCACCAGCTGGTCTCCAAGGAGGCAGTCGGCAAGTGCAAAGTGCCCACTCGCGCACAGTCTGGGGTCCAGCATTCGGATGCCAGTATTTTTTCTGACTAGGATGGCGGTTCCCCCGGAGGGGCTAGCCGTGAGCGTGTGAACGCACCAAAAAACGTTTCCAAAAAAACGAACAAAACTTTTTGCTTTCTCAGCGGAGCAGATCTTTGTCTCTTGTATGAAAATGACGTCCGCGCTCTCCTCATTAATTAGATCTAATAAAAAACTTTTACGCTTCGTGGCGGTGACACTTATACAATTAAAGGTTGCTATTTTTAAACATTTAAAATTATTGTATATAAACAGAACACAAAGAAGCAGCCAAGACCAACAGTACAACTGTAGAAGTGATAAGACGAGATGAAAGGTACAAACACAACAACTAAGAAAAGAGAACGAAAAGAAAACCAACGAAGCACAACTACCGAGTAAAAATCGAAAAGACAGAGTTGAGGAAAGATAACTCTCACCCAAATTATGGAAAGTGCCGGGTTTCCTCACACATTCTTCAGCGAAGACCGATCCGTTTCGACGGGACGCGAGGCTGGGATTTCGGGAAGGTCTTTGTACTTTTTACGCGCACTCTGTCGTGTTGCCTTGCCCGTGTCCTTGAGAGGCGCACCTGCGTTGGGCTCCGGCGGGGGAGCTTTCCCCGGAGCGGCTGTCGGCGCTGGCGGAGTGGCCTCCTCCTTCGCTTCTTCCCGCAAAGCCGTGGGCATCGTGGGCTCGGTGATGGAAGCCGCCGCGGCAGCCTTCTCCGCCGACACCGGGTCGGGCTCCCCGACCGAAGGGCCCGAGTCGGTGTCGTCTTCGTTCGGTGGTCCCCCGCGAATGTCAGCCGAGGGCACGGCTGGCGAAGGGTCCACGATCTCGCGTAGAGTCTGCAGCTCCGGAGTCGGATGTGCTTCGTTTACCTCGACTACTGCGGCCCCCTCCGTGTCGCCGTCGTCCAGCAGCTCCTGGTGCCGCTCGCGCAGTGGCTCGTGCCTTGTCTTGGAGGCGTACGTTGGGACACAGTCGGCCTCGACGTGTCCGTAGCCCCTGCAGCCGCGACACCACGGCGCCCTGCATTGCCTTAACAATGGGATCTCTATCCTTAGTAATAATTCAGCCGATAAACTGTAAGTTGGAAAGTTTGCTGCCGATTTTCCTCTAGCAAAAGCACTCCCGGGTCGAAATCGGGATACACCACGCATTGGCGACATTCTCACCTAGTAAAGAAATCGTACGCGCGCATATTCAACTCGAAGTAGACACGTCGCGCTTGACGTTTGCGCGAGCGATGTCTTCAGCCACAAGAAGGGAGCGACGGCTCGGCGACGTCTTCGTGCAAATCGGCTTGGTGGTCGGGCCTGTCGTACGGGATGAATACCAATTCTTTTGACCAGTCCCAAATTTCTCTTTTAAAGGCAGACAAAATTCGCCGGTACCGTGAACGACAGTTCTGAAATAGAGGTCCCACGCCCGTCGTTCGCTGCCATCGCCGTCCCTGCGAGTCCCACGATACGCGAAACGACGCACGCACAGAATGCTTCCGGTTGTCTGTGGAACTTTTTTTTCAGTCAACGTATTTGCAGCTTTTTAGAAGCCACAAAAAATGGGCTTCATATTTTTTTCTATTTTTAATATTGAGTGTGTGCCTTCAGTGACCCACGACTTTGATTAAATTTGGTGGTCGCATCGATACCTTAGAAAACGGCCCGTGACCGCGGAAAAGAGAGTAAACGAGACTCGAACCGGCCAGTTCTTGATCGGCGGTTTTCGGGCGGAAAGAAACCGAATTTCGAGCCGCAAATTCTGTTCTGGGTAGTTGAGCTCTCATATGTCACGTACAACTAAAAACCTCGGCGAGCATAAATACCCTGTCAGTGTCCCTTTAAGGATGGTATATGCACCCGCCTTCACTCCCGCATCATAAAAAACAATCTGTCGACGTTCCCCGGGTTCCTCTTCTAAGGCCGCTGACCTCCAGTTTTTAGGAAGCTGGAGAGAGCCACTACTCTCCAAAATATTTACAAAATCGAAGGCCTTCACGGGAACAGGCGGCTCCGGCTGGAAATCTGTCGGTCGATCTCTAGACATAGGCAGTTCGTTTTTAGCCGCCGTGGCCCTTTTTTTTTGGCGATCGCCGCTTCTTGCGTTGTGATGAGAGGTAGCTTGGCAGGTTTGGAAAAAGGCAAGGAACTGCATCGCTTTTCAGAGCCCATATTCCCCGATCGATCTCGACAGTCTCACCGTTAATGACATGCTTGTACGTCTTCACGATGTCCGCCTCCTGGAAGTGTACGTCACAGACCTTGCACGTCTTAGTCAATACTTTGTCTGCGCGAGGGATCGCTCTCGTCCACCTTCCGAGAAGCTGCGGATCACGAGGCGGCGCAAAATAGTGTCGTTTCTGCGGGTTGCTTTTGTACCCGCTGGTACAACCGGTTACGAAGCACGTAGGCATTATAACAGCTGCATGCAGTCGTCACGTCACAACGGACGTCGTATCACAAACCGTCGAAAGCAATCACACACTCGAAGGGCAGAAAACCAACAGATCACGTAACAAACAGCGCGAACAGCGAGCGAAAATGCAAGCCCAACCAGCCCAACCACGTAACCGGAGTCGGCCTGGCCGGCACACACGCGCAAGCTTCGATCGCAGCGCCCTCGCAGTCCCTAGGGATCGGTCGCGCCCGCCTGGAGAGGGGCAGTTCGGAAACTGGAGAAGTATCTATAAACGTTGCACAGTACCGTCTCAAACCCAGCACAGCGTACAGCTCTCATATACTTCCACAACAGTCTTCTTTGTCAACCTCCATCCAAATTATGCATATTCAACAGTAAACAAAGTAAATGGCAGTAAACGACAATTCAACAACTAGTAAATGACAATTGAAGAGTAAATTAAGTAAATGGAAATAAATGACAGCTGTATGCTGTGCTGGTTTTAAGACGGTTGTGTATATGTCCTTTTTTGTTTCCTTGTCTTAAGGTTTTATTTCTTAATTATGATTGTTCACCAGCTCGCCTGCGTTTTGACTCTTAGAATGTGGCGGGAGATGGAGAACACGACGCTGAATGACTAATGGTGATGATGATGATGTTGGCTTTCAACTGAAGCGCCACATTATGGTCAACACCCAAAC